AGGGAGGTTGGATTAGATGATCTCTAAGGTCCCTTCCAACCTAAGACATTCTATGATTCTATGAAAATTAGTACCGACTGCAGTGTGAACAGCAGCACTTCCACACTGCTACCACTGCTGGTCCCACAACACTCCTCATGCCCCGGGTGGACACACTGCACTGCCTCAGCCTTCCGCTTCTCTAAGTCCAGGCTGATGCACACCATGTCTCCCTTAAATGGCACAATGAGCCACTGTGAGCACAATTTTTTTTAAAAACAAAAATGAAACAGGAAATTCAATTTGAACATAGGAAAACACTTTTTACTGTGAGGGTGGTCAAGCACTGGCACAGGTTGCCCAAAGAGGTTGTGGAGTATCCGTCCACGGAGATATTAAAAATAAAACTGGACGCGGTGCCAGGCAACCTGCTCTAGGTGGCCCTGCTTGAGCATAGGGTTGGACTGGATGATCCCAAGAGGTCTCTTCCAACAACAGCCGTTCCATGACTCTGTGATGCCAGCACACAGAGTAAGGCTGCCTGTGTAGTGGCATTTACCTTCTGGTCTTGCACCAACTGGAAAATCACAGAATCATTAAGTTTGTGAAAGACCTCTAAGATCATCAAGGTCAACCATCAACTCAGTACTATCATGACCATTAAACTATATCCCGAACTGCCACATCTACATTTTTTTCAATACCCCTGGGGATGGTAACTCCACCACTTCCCTGGGCAGTCTCAACACTCTGTCGCTAAAAAATTTTTTCATAATATCCAACCTAACCCTCCCCAGCACAACTTGAGCCCATTTGCTCTCATCCTAACACTAGTAACTTGGGAGAAGAGACCAACACCCACCTCGCTACAACCTCCTTTCAGGTAGTTGTAGAGAGCAACAGTCTCCCCTCAGCACCCTCTTTTCCAGACTAAACAATCCCAAATCCTTCAACCACTCCTCATAAGACTTGTTCTCTAGACCCTTGTAAGAGACAGTGTTGGTCTTTTGCCTCAACATTGCTGAAACGAAACCACTGAAGGCATCACTGCCATCACAACGGAGCAACTGCTAGACTAGAGGTTTCCTGCTGCTGTACAGACCTGAGTATGAAGAAACTCTGAGAAACTGAGCCTAAAGCAAATGCTGAGAAACCCAACCTAGCGTCCTAGTCTCCACACACGCGCTCAGACCCAGGGTCTACTTCTCGAGACCCCCACAGTGACAGTACTGGGAATGCGTACCACCACTCGTGGGAGGTGGAGTTAGGAAAACAAGCTCTTGGAACATGCAAAAAGATAATCAGAAGAAACATATATATGTAATAAGATGACACAATAAAAGTGGAAGAAAGGATACTTTGTGCTTTTTTTCCTCTACTTTGCTTGTTCATCTTTTCCTGGGTCTGCTCTGCTCTTCCATCTGGACTCTCCTCTGGCTCAACTGCGGCTCCCCCACCCTCAATGCTCCGTGGATGGATTGAACTGTCGAAATCTCTCAGTTTCGTGGTGGTAACTTCTCCTTTTGCTTTCCTTCCTCTTCTAAAAAATTCCCTTTCTCTCCCGCTTTTGCACTCACGCACCGGTTGTCAGACTAATAAAGCTCTTGGGCACTTGACTCTGTTTTGAGTCTTAATTCTGGTCCCGGGTATACCAGTGGAACCTTTCACACTGGTCCTGGACTGGTTTGCAACAACCTCTCACCAGCTTCGTTGCCCTTCTCTGGACTCAGCACCCCAATGTCTTTCTTATACTGTCGCGCCCAAAAGTGAACACAACACTCAAGCTGTGGCCTCACCAGTGCCGAGTACAGGGCCATGATCACCTCCCTACTCCTGCTAGACACGCTATTTTTGATACAGGTCAGGATGCCGTTGTCCTTCTTGGCCACCTGGGCACACAATAAGCTGGAAGATAGCAATGTGGCAGTCATTTTAGTTTGTCCAATGCATTTTTAACTCTTTTGAACTCTTATGTAATAACAACACTTTTGTTTTGAGGCACACATTCAGTTACTAAGGTACATCCTTTTCTCACCACGCAAACATTTTTCCCAGTTCTATATTATGAGCATTGGTGAAATTGGTTGCAAAGATGCCTCACGACCTTAGAGTGAGCCACAAACTGAAGGTATCAAGCAGAAATGTCTTACAAAGATCAGGACGTTTTAAGATGAAGAGTAACGTTTCACAGTTTCTGGGAGGGAATGTAAAACTTCCTCCAACTTTTCTTTGCACCTGTGATGCCACTGGGCATGCAAAATTGACAAACTTGAGGGAACGATGGTAGCAAAAGAGAATCTCCCATGGAAAATCATGAAGCAGGGCTTCCCTAGTTACTCAGAGCAAGTGACACAGCGCGTGTATTACAGAGGCAAAGAACTGGTACAGGAGCACTCTTCCCCTGCATTACATTAGAGGGACTACAACAGTGGGTCAGGCCAAACATCCATCCAGCTGACACCTCCGTATGGACACCACTCAGTGTCAGATGTCAACTAGGGAACAGGTCAACCATCCCCGATTCTCTGATACTAGTCTCCTAGCTTCCAAGAGTCTTTAGCTCAAGGGATCTGTGAACCACAGCTGCCACCGTTTTACTGTCCTGGGTGGATTTCTTGTTCTTTAATTTATCTGGTCAATTTTCAAAACTACACATATTATACATAACTGTTAGACATCTCCCAGTTTTTTATGAAGTGAATAAGTAGCCATTGTTTCTCCAACAGCTTTCTCTCCGGCACTTGTACTTTTATAGAATTCAACTGTCCCTCAAACATATCCTTTCTGGACTAACAAGTCTTACTCTCTTTAATTGCTCCTTGTAAAGAACAGGCATCTTACAGCAGCTCAGTTACATCACGTTTGAGTAATGGAAAGAAGACAGAAGCAGACTGTACACCAGGTTCAAATCAGAGATGCACGTATTAGTGGGGTCTTCTTTCCCGTCTAAACAGCTCATTACTTTTCAAGAAAACAACATTAGGAGCTCTTTCTTGACAATAATCAAGTGTAACTTCAAGATCAGTTTCCTAAGTAGGAATTACAGGTTAGAAATTCCCAAGTAGAAATCCACAAATGTGTCTATGAAGCGAGAATCATCTGTGTTATTTTGCACCTACCAACATAAACTTTCAAGTCCTATTTTCACTGCCCAGTCTTTCAAATGAAGAGATCCTCCTGCAATTCACTTTACTGACAGTTTTCTCTTAGCAGATTCATAAATACACTGAAAAACATGTCCCTTACAAGATCCCTGTGAAATTCAGTGAGATAAAAACAATTACACGCCCATACTTCAAAAATATAAAGATTAATTCCCTGACAAGTCTTCCCTTGTCTCATGGCACCTTGGTTCCCATGGAGTCTTTAACAACAGGCTTTTAAAAAGCCTTTGGGAATCCAAGTACATCAACTAACTCATTCATGGCCACACTCTTTATCAAGTCCTTCAGAGAACAACAGAAGAACTGCAAAATAAAACACACTCCTGAAAGGGAATTAAAATAAATAAAATAAAATAAAATAAAATAAAATAATCAGCCACAGAAAGTCATACTGACTCTTGTGTAATTCATACCTATTTATTCACAAGTTCAATTTACAGAATGCAGAAATCTGGCTTTGCACCTGTACTTTCCTCAAAAATCTTACAATACTGACATATTTCCATTTCCCTGGAAGGACTAGTTATGTGATAGGTTAAGAGTTAATACTTCAGTGATTTCAGATTCCCATTTCTTTTAAGTCTCAACTGTATATTATCAAATCTTGGCACTGAAACACTGTTCAAGTTGTTTATTTTCTCCAAAGCAAATTCTTTTGGCACATTAATAAGATATGTCCTCTAAAGATTCTCTCATATAGATTCTATCTCAGAGCTTGATGTCACAGTGCTCAGTATACTGCGCTCCATGTCTCTCATACACTTATCATGTCATCATTTTCCACTAAAATCTCCCTAAGCACCTCCACAGTGAACACGGGTACACACAAATAACTACAGTTTTGATTTAAGTTTTACTTTCTGCAGGTGTGCTTTGTTATTCCCCCATCCCTAACAGCCTTACAAATTCTGCAGCCATCTCTCTCTGCCCCACCCCAGCACATTGGAAGACAAGTAAGATTTACGGCTGGCTTTATCCCTTCTGCAAGATATTTCTCAAACTCTCTTTGTCTGGCTTATTCTGGTTTTTATATTTAACCCATATGCGAGTTAATGAGCCTCCTCATCTTATGCAATTCCCCCTTCTGAAATTAAACGCATCAGTCATATCTTTGGCTTTTATTAGTTCTGCAAGAATATTAAAACTACAGCCTGCCTTGTTCTAAAGCAACATCTGAATCCAATTACCTGAGTGCCGCTCCAAATAAAGTCAAGAATTGCTGCTTTTTTTCAGGGGTTCTCCAAGTAGCAGCTCTAAGAAGCCATCGTTTGTGCCACCTGAACAACTGCAGTCGGTGCCACACCCCAGCGTGTGTGATCCAACCTACGCACAAGTAATTCTTCCTTCTGCTTTTCTAGCTGGTCCTTGCTCCCTCACTGATTTTCCTTAACAGAGCAGTCATTTCCCCCATCACCAGCTGGTTTGCTCCCCACAGGGCTGGTATGTCAGTCCAGGTAAAATTTTACTGACAAAACCCACTAAAAATCAGATTTAATACTAACGCTTTCTTCAGCAGATCCTGCCAAATTCTCCCTTGGGTTAAGCTATTCCATCTTTCCCATGTAATTTGTGCCCTTAGTATTTAGAAGGTCCCACCAACAGGCCTGAGAAGCTTTTTGGATTAGCATTCCCATTTTGAACCAGCCACTCCAGTTCCCTGTTGTCCTTTCCAGATTTGTCTGTAGAAGCACACAAGCTTCGGTCTAGCCATCCTTTTCTTCTCCCCTTCCACCATCACTCACACTCTATTGCAATAGGACTATTTGTTCAAAATACTCTTTGCCATTTCACTACATTCTCCTGACCTCAATCTTGACACTCATTCAAAGGCATGCACATCTTACAGCCTAACCCCAAGGAAATGCATCATCCCAAACTGTGTGCTCCTCCACACCTGCTATTCTGCCTTTAAGAAACTGTTAAACACTGCCCTATGAAAGCTCTTCAACTTTAAGTGCCAGAAACCTGGTTTTGATTTTCTCTAGATGAAGTTTTTCCTCTCTGGACAAGCTCCCTCTGTTCTACATTTCTGTAGTTCCCAGTGAGTCCAGACACTTTCCTCC